TACAGATGTTCGCCAAGAAAAAGGCTAAAGTTGGTTCTTAAATTCTACAAATATTCTCATTCCCCTCATTTCTGAACATCAACCACCACTGAAAGTTATGCCTATTAGAGAAATTGTGCTTAAATTACCGGTGTCAACTCTGGAAATAAAAGCGTATCGCAAGACCTCGGCAAATCATTCTTCACAAGCCCAAGGGTTATTTGTCAACCAGTTGATTGATGTTATAAGAATAATGCCCAGAGATTGACCTCGAAGTAACATGAAACTTGTCACTCAGGTTTTCCCTCTTATGAACTTTCATTGCGGTGTGTGTTGGGGGGGGGGGGGTTTAAAGCTTTTTATGCCATTCTATTGAAATAAATGAAATTCTCCCCTCCTTCCTTTTAGGTAATGGATGGTTTTGGCAAAAACGGGTTGAGCGCTGGTCCCCTATCACAATCGAACTTGATGTTTCAAACAGCCGCTAAGCTCCTTGAGATAGCTTCCCCGTCCCTAAATTTGAACAATTCTATTTACTCTCTTCTTTCTGAGTTGATTTCAAAGGGACGGGTTGATCAGCTGTCTTCTCAGGAGGTATATTTTACTGATATCCTCCCCTTCTCTCCAATTTTCCGTTTTTATCATCATTACATTTTTGAGATTTCACGTTCGATCTAATAGTGCTTACAAGTAGCTGTATTGGCTATCTATCTTATTGCTTAGCTTTTCTCTAGCTGGTTAAACTATTCCGGTTTCATTCTACTCTCCCTCTCTCTGTCCCTTTTTTCCATTAGGTAAAGAGTAGCGCAGACTCCACATGGCCATCCCCACAACAGTGCCAAATTTTGTCCCAACTACAGGAAGCTGTGCAGCGGCAACAGTCCACAAGTGAAAATTCTCAATCAACATCTACTTCTAACGGCACCGCGTCTACATTAAATGGTGATGCTACAGTGATCCCATCCAGTGACCCTGAGAGGACGTAAGTACCATACGCTGGCATATTTAAGTAATATGTGATTCTCATGGTAACTTATGATGAGCTTATTTTAATTCATCGGTTAAAGGAATACTTCATCGGCTGGTGGTGAGCCAAAACTCAAAAGCAGTAAGCCACCTCAACAACAAGCAGTCGGGAGTAAGCTGAACTCACCAGTCGTCGATAGCGTCGTTAAAGGTAACCAACAACAACGCTTTGTGGAACAGCAACAGGGACGTTCTAGGGCGACAGCGACAGGTGGACAGACTCAACAAACTTCAACTCATGCAGCCGTTCCGAAAGCTCCTACTGTTAAGAATTGTTGGGCAGAACGAGGTGCTGCTGCAATAATAAAAGCAGCGGCAGTAGCTAACGGTTGTCCACAAACCGCTACCCCGAAACCCCAATCAACTCCTATCGTAACACCGCAAAAATCGGTGACAGTTTCCCCACAAGTCTGGCACACTATTGCCCTTTCATAATGCTCTTAACTTTGGCTTTACTATAGCCGTCTCTTTTGTGCTTTTTGTAGAACGGAGCGCTGGAAGGTGCAAACGGGAAGAAAAAGAATAAACAGAGTAAGCAAAGTCCCCCTGTACAATCTAACGGAAACACCAAAAAAGTTGATAATAGCAAAAAGACGACCAAATTAGTAAGCTCTGTATCGAGAACACCTGAGATGGAATCCCTCATTCAGTGGACTGAGCAAGCACTAAAGGGTGTTACAATGTCTGTGCAACATGTTGATATACCCACTCTAGTGGAATGCCTCGTTATGATTGACGGTCCGTTTGAGGTAATTTTGAATGTTTATTGCTAAAAGTCATATGAGATTAATGTTTAAAGAGATTGCTCTAAAGTCTGAGTTTTATTCTTACTCACTTGGTTATCATTGGTTATGAACCTAAAGTAGCAGGAGCCTATTAATGAAGCTTCTTTTTGAGCCGGACTAAATCAGGCTTAGAAGTTGCATGACAAATCATCGGGTCTTTCTAAAGTCTAGAAAGCTTTTACACTTCTTCCTAATTGAGAAGACCAAGACTTAAGTATGCTAACTAGAAATATGCAAAAGGGCGGGGGGGGGGAATAGGAAGAAGTACCTGGATGTGAGAATTTGGTTGAGTAAGATGCGTTTTGAGGAGATAATCTGGTTTTGCTCTATGAGTCAGTGTGTGGTTTTTAGAATGATCAGGTCTAAATCAGTGTATTTACATGAGAACGTTTTTATTGAACTACTAGTCTATTTTCACTTTTTTTCCCTTAATTATTGATACATTTAGCATCAAGAAAGGGAGATTTCTGTTTTCAATTGATCCTAACTCGCAGCAAGGAAATCGGTTTTCAAAGGAAATACACTTGGAGCCTTGTTTTTTTAACAGATGCTTCGTTTTTAATATATAAGCAGACTTTGCTGAAATAGCAGTAGCTTCATTATTATAATTTCATTATAGGTTGAGCATCTAATCCTCGATCATGTTGAAAATAATTCTCGAACTCAACAATTTGTACGCGATTTCTTGGACCGTCGACACACTTGCTGGCAACAACACAAGAAACAGAAGGAGGAAGAAGCGAACCAGAAAAAGAGTCAGAAAAGCACAGATAATGTAGAAAATAGTGGATATATGGGATCGACGAAGACTTATCAGGAGGCTAATGACTCTTCGCCGGAAAATGCGGTACGTTTCAATTGATTGCTCAATATCCCTTCCGTTGAAGTTTGATTTGCTAAGGATTGCATGTGTTATCTCACTTTAGTGGCGACAGATTAAATCGAAGGGCGGTAACGGTCGCCGGGGGAAGAAGGTGGGAAAAAATCGTTAATGACGCACTTACCTAGAGATGGAAACGAGAGAAGGAGTTTTGATTTCTTTTCTCGGTGTGTATGTGTAGCTATTTTCGTGTTTTTTGTCCGATTCTCTCTCTGTCAATAAAAGGAATGAGTGTTCTTAGTTTTTCTTCTGTCTTATATCCACCGGTAAAGCAACTTTGTGCACTCGTTTCTATGTTCTTTCTCTCTTTCACTTGAATCATTCCCCTTCTGTTTCTCTCTCTCGTATAGCATGTTTTTCCTATCTCTCTGATCTCATGATCTCTGATTCTCGTTGCCTTCCATTGACTTCTTCCCCTCTTTTCATAACTTGAAGTGACCAAGGAATGAGAATGTAGGGGGTGTTTGTGTTGAGGGGCTTACTCTGCGAGAATGAGAGGGTGTGTATGACGTGTCCACTCGTTCTTTACGATGCGATTTTTCCTCCCGACACGTGTGCAAATAACGGCAAAATAGCGTCCTGACCCTCCTGTTCTCTCTCTCAGGTGTCATTGGACTGAAAATACAACTTCATGTGCATGTGTACATACATATATTCTTTACTGTTATTTCAATAAAATCTTGCAAAAAGTGTGCCGTTATTGGTTTGAAGGTCCTTAAACATGTTCCTATGAGTGAGGAGCTCTGAGGGTGGGTTGTTGAAACGGTTCGAAAGGGCCTTTTGTTTTAGAACGAGAGTGCACAAAGATAATGGGGATATGGTTATCTGAAGTGTATTAACGAGGGTGACAAATCTGTGCTTCTCAGGAAGTGAGGCTCGATTATGCTATCCATGGTAACGAAATGTCTGCCTATTTCGGAGTCTGATAATCTATCGTTTTGAGGGGTATTTTACAGTCTACGGGAATTAATTGGATTCCTTACGTGACTGTTTGCTGGTCTGAATCCTACAACATATAGTAGTGCAAACTTGCAAATTAGCTCGACGATTCACTGCTTTATCCTCTAGCATACCTAGTATTGATTTATTTATCAAAATAGCATCTCAGATCGGAGGTACAAATAGAGGAAAGAATATACTCAATGTTATCATTTATGAATGATTGCTCGGTGTTATTTGTGTTGAAATCGGTTAAGTGTACTTTTTGTTAGAAATTTTTGGTCATGAAACTTTAATTCATTCTAGAATAAATGACAAAATTTGAAAGTGAGGATTGCCTTGGTCTGATATCATTGCCTCTCGGGCCAGCTGCCATACGGTAATTTAGTGCTTCAGTACTTCCGTTGCCATAACTACACGATATGGTTGAAAATAAAATTTAATGGATTTACGTCATGCCGGTGTAATAATTATATGATTAAAGTTTGCTAGAATTACTAACTTAAACAAAAGTTAAAGCTACGTAAACCATCAATTTCACATGACTATTTTGCTTCATTTTCATCTAATTGTCACAATTCACATGCAAGTTAAACCTACCGCTTAAAATTGTCGATTTTGTCAAACGATTCGATCAATAGTCAGTCAGCTGATTCATTAGTGCGTAAATGCGCCTAAGGTCGATCTTCGCACGGCTTTTCCTACTGTCTTGTCTTCTCTTCGGTCTGGTTTCTCCTGGGGTAGATGAATGGATTTGGGAATTATCGTTTCCTGTACGAAGCATTGCTGGAGTATTTGAGACTTCTCCTGCTGGTCTGCGCTATAATCGCGGCTTTCCACGAGGAATTTGGGGCACGAATTTAGCTCCAGATCTCGGCAGATATGATGAAACCAATCAATCATTTCTTACTGATGGTGAGTTGCGAATTTTATCTACTTGAGCATATTTCCGTTTGTGAGTGTGCATGTTTACCTATCCTGATTTTTGCTCTCTATGTGCGGCAGCTTGCCTTACCCTATTTTTAGACATGCTTTTGCTTTATGTAAATGGCTTTAAGGCAGTGTTGGACGGAGCCTCGGTAGCCAATGCGATAAGGTGATAGAATGCCAGTATTAGCATTGACAAAGCTGCTTTTAACATAAACGAGCTTTGCCCGGTTAGGCATTCAAACTTTAATCTTTAAAATGTTGTTTAAATTATTGCTTTATTTCTTACGATGAGCCTAACAAATTTGCTTGGCATTTATGTATTCGCGCTTCTAAGGTAGAATTGTAATTAGGAAAAATCGATATTTCTGTAGGTTTTGATTGGCTGACGATGCAGAAATATAAACGAATTTAGAGATGAATCTGTCATTAAATAAAGCAATTTCCATCAGTACATAAAGCGCGTTGCTTATGTTTTGTTTTTTTTAAATATAAATCCCATATTTGTGGAAAATTCCAGATAATTGGCCATTTTGCGATCCACGTGATTTTCACAAATGGAGTTTAATTCGTGAGAAGTTGATGGTTAGATTTTCCGCTTTTTTTAACTGCAAAAAAACGAATGAAATCGTTTACTATTAGCAGAGATCTTGATCCATCTTTTTCTCAGCGGTCATTTGATCGATCAGTTTTAGCGCGAGAAATTAATTTGGAAGAAAAGTCGCTTAAGTGCAGTTGACTTTCCACTTGAGTGAAGTGTCTTTATGTGAACTAAAAAATTAAAACATTTGTTGTACTACTTGATATCGCACGCAGTTTTAAAGTGAAAATTTCGATTCCTTTTCTTCACCCACTGATGTTATGCTTTAGTTTAGAAAAGCTAATGTTAGGTTGTTTAGGCCAACCCAATTTTTTCTGAATTAGGGCATGATAACCAGTGGTAGTTTTTTATAACTTTTTGGTGTCATGGTTTGCTGTGTACTAATCTTTTCTTGCGTTAGACAATAAATTGACAATGTTGTCTATAAGGGAATACAGCAACCTTTGGTGTTTTATGGAAATGATTATGCTTTTTTCGTACGATCACGATTTAGGGCTTGTAGTAAGCGTCTATCTTTCAAGATTGTGTTTTTGTTTCCTAATCGATATCGGGTTATGATTTTATGACCGACTCGCATTATTGTGAGGCAAAACTAAGAGACTGTGACCTCGTTGGTCACTTAAAGGGAAGCCTACTTTATTTGTGTTATTTGATCAGCGTGAAGTTAGGTTGGCTATGGTAAAGAATCTTGTTACCGAAACTCAAATGTATTTTATTTTGTTGCAGCATTCTAACGCCTTGTATACAGTATAGCAAGCGTTGGGGTGGGGGAGGGGGTTGTGCTTCGTTGAATGAGTTAAAAATAGGCCTCAGCTTCTTCTCTACCAGGAAGGTTCTGGCTGTGACGTCATTGTGGACATTAAAAGTAAATAAGTCATCGGAAAATTGAAGCTCGTTATGTAGTAGGGAGAAAACTAGGATAAATCGATGAAGAATTGATTTATGTTATAAATTTTCTTTCTCTGAGTTATTTATCGATCTAGGGTATTAATTGCCTCATTTCTTCTCATACTTCGAATACGAACAGTTAATTTTTTTCGTTTTGTAGTTCTTTTCAAATGAGCAATAACTTTAATAGGAAAGTTCTTTTTTGGTTTGGCTTTTATGATGGCATTAGAGCATTTATTTAGGCTATCACTCATTTTACACCAAATTGCAAATTAATTATTGAAAAAAAAGTTTCTAAATTCAAGGAAATCCTGAATGGTTTTTCTTTTCGATCGGGTTTATTCCAATCTTATGTGTGCGATAGACTTACCTCCACGTGGTGCATCCTGGGCAACGTATACTCATACGGCAAAAAAAGTCTATTAACTGGCAGTTGACTTCTGACTTCAAACTATCATCACCCCACTGTATGATATATTCGACTACTTCCACAGTACTCACCTCACCTTTTTTTACCTTTGTGTCTGTCTCTTTAATATCTTTAAAGCACTCTTCTGTTCACCCCCCCCCCCTCTCGACTTATTGTGACTTTGATGTTCCTTCCCCTATGTGAAGCCTGAAGTCAATTAAAGGGCTAATGATGCTTCGCATTCCAAAATTCATGCCCTTATCCCGACTTTATGCACTTTTTCCATCGTAGTCAGGACCATTTCCCTAAAACTCTCCTATTTATAATATTTGTTTAATGGATTATTTAATTAGATTTCGTCAAGAATTTTTTGGCATTGTTTCCTGATAGCAAAATAATTTTCTACTGATATTTGCAAACTTATATTGGTTGAAGATACATTAATTCGTTTATGAAAGGCCAAGATTCCCGTAAAAATTTTCAATTGCGCCAAATTTATCCAGATATTTTCTCAAACACTTATCTGCATAAAAGGCATCTGAATGATTTGAATTTCTAATGTCACCTTTTGTTTGCGATAAGTTCATTACGCAATCCATCTATCTAGGTACACAAGTGAATGCAGGTTCATTTCAATCGCCCTTTTTAAACCTAATTTTCCCTTAGAAACGATTAGATTTTACCTTTGAGCATTATGATTGGTTCAACTATGTTGCTTTTTTAACCAAAGGTAGTTCCGCACGATTTGATTTTCTGCCAAGTGGGTAAAAACTCAATTGACTAAAGAAATTTTACATGACGACTTCACGAATGCTAGCCAACTTAGCGAGGCTTGAGTTTGCCCGTACTTGTTGTAGTGAATTAATCGTGAAATTTTAACTATCTACTGTTAAGCAGTAATTGTGTCGGCAGAACTAGAGCAAATTGTTATATGCAATTGAGCGGGTTTATTAATGCACTTTTAAAGTCAAAATAAGGTTCATCAGAGTTGTTAGCGGTCGAATTTAAAGGCAGGAATGTATGTATATAGCTGTTTTGCAACTAGTTGAAAGTTCATCGAATTGTGAACGATAGTATAGGTTTTTGATGATTGTCGTAATTTTATGGAACTAACGTTCTTTCCTTTAGTATTGAACCATTTAGATTGACTCTCATTTACCCTGAATTGGAACAAACGTCTGTTTCCATAATCTGTAATGCAAATTTTAAACGGGTGGGGGGTGGGGTGGGGTTGGGGGTGGAGGAATTTTAGAAGCAATTACTCCGTTAACTCTTCTCAGACAGCCTTCTTCTTTCGGTATGTGACTTCAGCATGAAAGTCTACTTTATCTCTCTCTCTCTCTTTCTCAGACACCAGAGTAACTCCACTTTCAAGAATATCACACTCCGCTCCCTCATGATACATTGATATCGCAGTTTATCTCACTCATTGGCTACATACCGATAAATGTGTTTGGGTCGCAAATTCGATGTAGGCAGCAAATTAAATTCGAGAGAGAGGAGATAGAAGAGGACCAGAGGAGAGCATAGGAGTAGGTAAATGATAAGCATTTGTCTACCTTCACCCCCCCCCCCTCCCACCCCAACAGGAGAGACTTCATGTAGTGTAACAAGTAGATGGAATATTTCTGGAAGTATCTGATCCGGGAAACTATGCCCAAGTAGTGCTTATTCAAGAACCACTTAATTAGTTCATTCTGCTAATTAAAACGAACTACTTGAGGACACACGATGGTCCACTAAAGGGAATTTGAGGTTGCAGCAGGGTCAAACACTTCAAGCACCACTAAGGTCGGGATAATTAGTGCTCCTGGACGATTGATGCCCTAGATAAGGACTTAGGAGACCAGTTGGGATATAGCCTTGATATTAATGTAATACTAAACCCATCGACTAAATACCAATCTCCTGTTGGCAAACTATGCTTAGTAAAGTGGGGGATCTAAGTTTTCTTTGCTCCTTTAAAAGTTAAAGAAGAATTGATCTTAAAGTTGGTGTCATTTTAGTCTACACTTGGGAAGTTTGGAGTTTAAGTTGCGCTCAGAAACTTTAAAATGCGTTTGAATTTTCCTATTGTTTGTACAAATTTATCGCTGTTTGCAGAATTCATCTTTGCTTAAATTGAAGCCACTTATTCCCTAAATAAGTCGATATTTCGTCATTTTTGACCTTTTGGGTAAGACGAGTGCATAAAGATGGTCTGCAAATCACACAATTCTGGCAACTACTTTTCTTCACCCTCCTCCACCCCCCCC